CACCAACCACTACGTGTGTGAGGTGAACGGGCAGAACGTCATCGAGCTGAAGGTAGGCCAGCGGCGGCTCTGCCTGGAGCTGCAGGGGCGGGAGACGGCTGGGCGGGGGGAGGGCCCTGCCTGCAGGCGCCATCCGGGCTTGTTCCTCCACCCTGAGGCTGCTGGGAGGAGCCGGTAAGACAGTGCATAGACCTTTGGGCACATGGTCCGTGCTCAGTGAATGCTAGCTATTGACCCTAACACATGGAGGTCACAGGTGTGGCAGGAAGGGGGTGATGGCATGTCAGGTGGCTACGGGCTGCATGAACACCTCCCTGCTTTGTGTGGTAACTTCTGGCTGCATCCTGGATCACGTGGCAGGAATGTTTTGAAAACAGTTCTTCAGAAATCTGTTTCTGACCTCTGTTCATTAAAAAAAAATATATTATATATATATATATATATATCTATATCTATCTATCTATCTATCTATCTATATAGATAGATATAGATATATATATTTTATTGATTTTTTTACAGAGAGGAAGAGAGAGGGATAGAGAGCTAGAAACATCGATGAGAGAGAATCATCCATCAGCTGCCTCTTGCACACCCCCTACTGGGGATGTGCCCGCAACCAAGGTACATGCCCTTGACCAGAATCGAACCCACGACCTTTCAGTCCGCAGGCCGACGCTCTGTCCATTGAGCCAAACCAGTTTCGGCCTCTGTTCATTTTTTGAGGGGATGTGTGTAGCGAACTCTTATTTTTGAAAAACAGAGTGGCCTCGAGTCAGTGCTGTGGGCATGGGCTGCGGGTGGGTGCCTTCAGGGAATGGGCCACAGAGGATGCCGAATCACGTGGCTTGTGGTTCCTGAACAAGTGAAAGTAATTTCATCCTAACCTGGAGAAGAGTGGCTCCCAAACCAGGTGTGACTGATGAGCCCCCCCTCGGGCAGCCAGGGCTCCGGGCTCCCAGGCAGGCCGTCGCAGCAGTGAGCTCATCCCGCAGCTTTTAGGCCAGGTCTGCACCCCTCCCCAGGGCCGTCGCCGAGCCATTCCTGTCACTTCTGCTTCCCTGTGCCTGGCGGTCTCCCCCGCCTTCCCTGGCGGAAGGCTCAGCTCATGGTGATCAGGAAGAGCTTCCTAATGTCTGTCCAGGCCCTTCCTGCTGCATCTCCCCGCTCAGGGATCAGGGGGGACAATCCCAAGGGAACCCCCTGGGCCTGAGAAGCTGGTACACTGGTACCAGTTCCGAGCAGCCGGCTCCTGGATATATCACTGCATTCTCCCCGTGAGAGCGTTACTGCTCCAGACCCTGACGGTGAGAGCAGTCATGGACAGGTGCCGCCCATCCTCTCCTCTCGGACGGCTCACAGCTGCGTTAGGGCTTTCCTTATCCTGCCAAACCAGCGTGGGAGGGCTCCTACGACTGGGCTTGTCTTTGTAAGTGGCCACAGATCGCTCTGCTACTGAGATGATCTCTTCAGAGTTCATCTGCTCTCCCTCTGGGGCCTCACTGGTCCTCTCCAGCCGCCTTCTCCCCTTTGTCCTGGGGCAACCAGGCCAGAGAGGAGGAGAGCCAAGGCCTCTGGTCTCGGACGGGCCAGGGGTCTTCTGCGGCCATCGCGCTCTCCCTGTTGGGCTGCTTGGCCCACTGCACGGACAATTTTGTGCTCCCAGCATCTCATCGGCTTCTGCGGGCCTTTCCTCTTCGCTGAGTGAGATGTGAGAGGAAGCAACCCGTTCAGTCAGGCCCACGTGACTGGCTCATTTCACCGAGGGGAGCCTCAGGGGGGGTCCACGTGCCTGCGCCAGCAGGGCCTCACCCGGGCGTCTGCCTGGGACCCTCCCCTGAAGCCAGGTGCCAGGGGCTCCCTAGCAGCGGCCACACTGACCCCGTCCATAGCGTTGCCTGCAGGTACCCCTGGCCCCAGGGTGACCCCTCGCTCGCCTCCTCTCAGGACAAAGCGGTCACGGAGATTCTGGCCACGGCCGGGAACGTCGTCACCCTGACCATCATCCCGACGGTCATCTACGAGCACATGGTCAAAAAGTAAGGCCCTCCCGCTTCTTCCCCTCCCCTCCCCGCATCCCCACGCTGCTTCCTCAGAGCTCACGCAGTGCACAGCCTGCTCCCCCGGCTCCCTCCCTTCGGCATGGCGGGGGCTTCTGGTGACGGGAAATCTTAGCAATAAGAGTGGAGGCCCCGGGGAGGCACTGCCCGCTGTGGCCACTGTCGCCGTTGCCGTGTCTAGGTTGTCCCCGACGCTGCTCCGTCACACCATGGACCACTCCGTCCCCGACATCTGAGGTCAGACACCTCCCGCAGGACGGGAGGCCTGCTGCCCGGGGCCGGCACGTCCCACGGGGGGCGCTCCGGGGTGCGGGGTGGCCGCAGAGCACGTCTCCATGTGCGGCACAGGCCTCCTTGGAGCCCGACTCTCTCCTGGACGAGGGCCGGGCCGGGGCCACAGGCAGCGGCTCCCGGTGCGGGTCTCACGCTGGCCTCCGGGAGGGGCAGCGGGTCCCTCTGGAGACGTCGCTGCCACCAGGACAGCCCACATAGGAGAGGACAGAGCACATTCCTTGTGAGGATTTTCCCCGCACTGACATGGGCATGACTCCTCACTTCTTTTGAATAAAGCTTTGGTTTTAAGTAAAGTTCCTTCCTCAGAAGTCGTTGAGAAGTCCAGCATTTCAGCCCCCGCACAGGCCAGGCTGGTTTCTTCTCCCAGGCAGTCGTGGGACCGAGGCCTTGCCTGCGCCTGGCCTGAGAGCCGTTGGTGCTCCGACCCGTCATGGCTGCCCGCCCGTCTGGGGAGGGCCGTGGGCCCCAGCTGCCCACGCAGCTGCGCGGCAGAGCGGAACCACCCACCGCTCGTCTCCCCTGACCTGGAGGAGAGCTCTGCCTCCCTCACCCCCCACCTCAGGAAACAGGCCGAGGGTCGTGTGCGTTTTCATGCTTTAATTCAGAGCCGTCTGCTGCAGGTACAACTCTGAACAGAAGTTCAAAGGAGACAAAAGTGGATGTCCCTCCCGCCTCCCCCCTTCCCGGGCCCCCTGGATTCTGTCAAGGGGATGGCCGGATATGAGCGTGCACTGTGACCGGGGTGCACTGTGCCCCTGGGTCAGAGGGGGGACCGTGAGGTCACTGGGCAAGGGCCCCTCCCAGACCTTTGCCCCAGAACCTGGTCCTTTGCCCACCCCTCGCCCAGGCCCTGTCAGCTACCCGTGCAGCTGTCAGCCAGCTGTGCGAGTGGTGAGTGGGAAGGTGCTGCATGAAAAGCTCAGTTATCCCCTTGGGAGATGTGCAGGGCTCTCCGCCCGAGCCAGCGGTGTGCAGAGTCCCGGCCCGACTCTGATTCCCGCCTGAGCCTGGACCAGCGGAGCAGCAGGGCCGCTCCGGCCTGAACCTGCAACTAAGAAGCTGCCCTTCCCCACTGGGCTCCAAGGGGCCAGCATTCCCAGAAAGCGACTCTGGAGACGCTGTGCCGTGGGACCTGGCCGTCAGCTCTGGCAGAGGCTGTGGAAGGGGGCCCATGGGTCTCTGCTCCGGAAGCAGAGGGCAGCGGGGAAGGTCACAGCCCGGCGGGAGGAGGTGCTAAGCAGACATTTGCAGAAGGAGCACTCAGCAGCCCGGGCCCCTGGCCTTGCCCCAGCCCCACATTCTGCCCTGCATAGTCGGGGGGGGGGGGGGGGGGGGACAGGCCCCTCCCCCATCCATCGCCTGGAGCCGCACAGGTGGCGCTGCACCTTTTGCATAGATGCGGACACTGAGCACGCACACACACACAGACACACAGGAGCCCTGCGGGCCACTGACCAACAGGGGCCCCGGGGCTGCCTCGGGGCTGCCGGTAAGCCGTCGCCTCCACTAACACGAAGAAGAAACGCCCGCCGAAGGCCCCGCCAGACCCCTCCATCCCAAGAGAGAGGCCCCTCCGTGCTGAGAGCAGGGCCCCTGGGGCCAGACAGGCGAGTCTCAGGCCAGAGGCGGCACAGAGGGTGGCGGCCGGTCACCCTCCCACCTCACCCAGAGGCCTCGGGTCTGCGCCCGGCCAGCCCTTCAGCAGCGGCTTCTCGGGTAGCAGGCGGCGTGGACTGTGGCCCCAGCCCTGCCCACGTCCACCAAAACATAAGACACAACAGGAAGGCCACAGACAGCAAGACACGGACACGAGCAGAGGGGCTCAGCAGCGCCACTCAGTTCCAGGGGTGAGGAACAGACTCGACGATGTCTAACAGCCACACGCTGGTTTCCGCAGCGAAGCTCCGCCCGTTTCTAAGGAGACGCTCTGCGGCCCGTGAGCACGCGGCGCAGGAGGCTGGGTCCCGGCCGGTCCGGCTCGGCTTTGGGTTGGGCTTGTCCTCCCTCCACGCCGCGGCCCCAGCCGCCCCGGGCAGCCCCGGCTGGGCCCAGGCCTTCGGGTTCGCTCGGCTGCGTGGGAGGCGCCCCCCAAAGGCCGGCCGGCCTGAGGCCTGAGGAGGGGGAGCTTTGGAGGCACAGAGCGCGTGGCAGGGGGGGCTGCTGCCCCCATGGCGGCCGGCGGCCCACTCCCAGTGCATGCAGTGCTGCCCCCGTGAGGGGGCGCGCAGGAAGGAAGGGCAGAGCCCGTGAGTCGGGCAGCGGCTGCTGGAGCAGCAGGGGCGGGCAAGCAACCTTGGCAGAGAACCAGAGTGGCCCGTAGGCCAGAGGGGCGAGTAGGACACAGGGTCCCAACCCTCCCCCTTCCCCAGGTGGGGGGCCTTACTCTGAAGAGTGGGTGGGACAACCAGAGGGGGTAAGCCTGAAGGGAAAAAGGATTGGGTTTTCTTTGTAAAATAATCTATATATATATAAAAGGCTAAGTGACCGTCTGACCGTCTGACCGGCAGCTATGATGCGCACTGACCACCAGGGGGCAGGGGCTCAACGCAGGAGCTGCCGAGCTGTGGTGACTTGGCAGCAGGGGTACTCGGGTGATGCCCCCCCAGAACCAGAGAAGAGGGAGCCTGATTCCAGGGGGCATCACCCGAGAACCGCCCTCTTGCAATCCGGGAATGTCAGTGAGCTGGTTTCAGCCTGATCCCCGTAGGCTAGGCCAAGGGACCCCACCTGCCAGAGGATCCCCGCTCACTCCACCGACACCCTTCGAGCCACGGCACTGCCCGAGGTGCGGACAGCCAGGCAGGGACCATGGGAGGAGGTTGGCTCCAGGGCGTGTCCGGCCTGTCTCACCCAGTCTCGCCCCGCTGGCCGCCTTCTAATTAATTTCCTTTCAGTGTGCACAGATCCGTGCACCGGGGCACTAGTAATGGTAATAAAGTGTTAGCAGCTTTTCTGGGGACCCTGATGTGGTCCTGGGGAAGGAAGGAGGGAGGACAGTGAGCCTTCCCAGGCTGGGCTCAGGCTGGGAGCAGGGGGGCTGTGGGGTTCTCCGCCCGCCCCGTCCCCCACCCCCACCCCCAGGAAACACCCAGGCACCTGCTTTGGCCTGGACGACAAAATGGCTTCAGTTCCTTCTTGCCATTCATCCTGCAGTCATCCCCCCTGAGGCAGGTGAGTCTAAGCTCCAGGAACCCTTCCCTTAGACGGTAAGCAGCCCCTCTCAGGAGGTCCGGACACACGAGAACCAAGCCCCCGCATGAACAGTGCAAAGCAGAAGTCGGGCCCGAGGCCCCAGGGTGAGCTCCAGGGCCGTCACGGCCTTGGCTGTCCGCACCAGCTGAGGACTGCCGAGTGCAGCCCGGCCGCCCAGACCACAGGGCCTCAGCTCAGGCCGGAGGCCCCGAGCTGCCAGCCCGCCTCCCCGCCTCGCGCTGGCCCTCCGGAGGGGAGCACTCCTGCCCCAGCACAGCCTGGATTATCTGACGACGCCCAGACGCCTCAGGAGGAAAGCGGACCGCAGGGAAGGTCTGGGACCGACAGATGCAGGACTCACACTGCCCTCTGCCACCCCCGCCCGTCTCCGCCTTTCCCCCAGGTGCGGGGCAGGCTGAGGGGCGGGGGCTCCAGCCCAGGCTCGCGGTTCCGGGCTCTGCTCGGAGTCCTGGGCCAGGAGTCTGCACTTTGGGTCGCAGCTGCCTGCCCTGAGGAGGTAATACTGGTCCAGACGCCGGGCTGAGGGCGGGCGGTGTGGAGTGGCCCGGGGACTGAACAGGATGTGGGGGGTGGAGAACGGGGAGACTAACGTGGGCAACCGCGGCCCAGCCTCTCTGGCTCAGTACACCAGAGACTTCCTGAGCAGGGGCCGCCCTGGGACAGGACGGGCGGAGGGGCTGGGCTGGGCTGGGCTGGGCTGGGCTGGGGGCTCCCCAGTACTCAGCCTGCAGTGTGCCTCCCTGCCTGGCGACTCTCTTCCCTTCTCCCCGGTCCCCACACTGTGAACATCCAGAAAACGCCGCTTCCGAACCCAGAACTAAATAAGACGATGCCCCACGGGAACGTGCGGGAGGGAGGACGGCAGGCCTACGATCAGTGGCCGGGCCTCAGAGCTGGGAGCCGGCGGCGGCGGCGGGGCTGGGGCCCTGGGGGCCCAGCGAGCGGCAGCTGATCCTGCGGATGGAGTGCAAGGCCACCGTGCAGCAGCCCCGCAGCAGGGAGCTGATGTTGTAGATGGGCTGGCCCTGGCGCCGCTGCGAGCGGCACAGCCAGGCCACGGTGGGCACCGCGGGCACCACCACGGCCAGCAGATCCACGATGTAGTGGCGGCTCCAGTAGCTCTTGGGCTCGGCCGCCGCCTCCTCCTCCTCATCCACGGGGCACGCCACGCTCACCGACAGGCTGTGGCCGGGGTTGGCGCCGGGCCGGTGCGGGGTCGGCCCGCGGGTGATGGGCTCCGGGGCCTCGGCCTCATCCCCCACCGTCTCCACCACCGCCGCCGCCGCTGAGTTGGGGTCTCTGGGCCCTGAGGGGTGGGGATCCGGCTCCGGGCACCCGCCCCCCGACGCGGGACCCGTCCCGCAGCCCTGGGCCTGGGCCACCTTCTCCAGGACGGCGTCGAGGTCGGGCTGGTACTGCAGGAGGTCCGTCTGGATGGCGCGCTCCTGCATGCAGCTGGCCTGCACGCCGGCCTCCGTGGCGCACAGCAGCTTCTCGTAGGTGCTGCTGGCGGGGAAGCGGGGCCCCAGGCCGAAGGAGCCGTGCAGCGAGGCCTCCTCGGGGCCGCAGTCCACCCCCGACGACAGCAGGCTGCTGGCCTCCAGCGCGTCCGTCCGGCTCGCGGCGTCGTCGTTGGCCACGAAGCCGCTGTCGGCCCCGTCCTCGGCCGAGGAGCCGGGCTGGTCCCCGGGGGGCTGGTCCCCGCAGACGGCAGGGTCGCTCAGCTTGGTGTAGGTGGAGCTGCGGGTGAGGGAGCGGGCGGGGGAGCCGCCGGCCGACTCGCCCGCGCCGTCCTCCTTGGCCGTGCCGTTCTGGGCCACCTCCATGCTGTGCAGCAGCGTCTCCAGCTTCTTGTTCTGGATGTTGATGTCCATGAAGTACTTCTGCAGCCCCTTGTCCTTGTCGATGAGGTTGTTCTTGACGGTGTCGATGACCTGCTTGAGCTGCTTGATCTCCTTGCGGGCCTCCTTCAGGGCCAGCTGGGCCTCCACGCGGTGGCACTCCTCCTCGATCCAGTCCTCCTGCATGCGCGACAGCTGCGTCTTCAGGTCGTCGATCTCCGTGTCCCTGTGGCAGAGGAGACACACGCTCGCTGCCGACCGGGCACCGCCACCAGGGGGACAGGTCGGGGGCGGGCGGGGGGCTGTCACCACGGATAGACGATGGCCTGTGCTGCCGCCTCACAGCTAAAAACAGGATCTAGCCGAAACCGGTTTGGCTCAGTGGATAGAGCGTCGGCCTGCAGACTGGGGGGTCCCGGGTTCGATTCTGGTCAGGGGCATGTACCTTGGTTGCGGGCACATCCCCAGTGGGGGGTGTGCAGGAGGCAGCTGATCGATGATTCTCTCTCATCGATGTTTCTAACTCTCTATTCCTCTCTCTTCCTCTCTGTAAAAAAATCAATAAGATATATTAAAGAACAATAAAAACAGGATCTACTCAACACTCCTTCCTTCTCTTTACTCCCTCAGGTGAGGGGCGGGGGGGGGGGGGGGCGCGGAGAGGGCCAAGTGGTAAAGTCAGGAGAAGAAATGGGGCTGAGAGACAGCGAGGCACCCCACCCGCTCCAGGCCGCAATGCCGAGGACTGTCCACGTTTAAATCCATCCCCTACAGAGCAGAGTAGACGGTAAAGAGTTTCACTGTCAAGGTGCTACTCCTGTAGACCTAAGACATCTTTAAAACTCTTAACGTATAACCACAGAAGGAAACAGATTGTCTACTCTGTGGGAAGGGATGTGGCCTCCTGTTTAGCTGGCTTTAAATGACCACCTTCAACATGGGGGCTGGGGCAGGGGGAGTGGGGGAGGACAGGGAAGCTGGTAATTCTACGTCTCCCCTCAGGGGGAGAGAGAAGTGGACAGTCAGGGGGAGTGAAGAAACGGGGGCACTCTCATCCGGGGGCCGTTTCCTTTTTATGTCTGTTAGGAAGAGGCAGTGCCAGGTGGACCGTCGGCAGACTCTTATGCAGAAACTCTCAGGCCGTTTGAGCCCTGGAGCTGATGATGATGGGGGGGGGGGGGGTTGGACAAAGATGCCATCAGGCCCAGAGCTGACACCAGGGCAGGCCAGAGCAGTGAGAAGGCAGAGAGCCTGGGAGCCGGCCAGGCCCCTCCTCAGCACACCCCTCGGTGACACACGCAGCCTCTGGCCCGGCATTTGTGCAAATACAGCAAGTACAAGGTCACTGTGGGGTTTTGATCCCATTAGGATGACAGTCCCAGCATCATTTATGTTCAAAGTGAGACTGGAAATGCATTGGGGAGGGAGGCCTGGGATCGCAGCCACAGGGTGCTGAGGGCTGGGCCGAGGGTGTCACCACAGACCACCTGAAGGGAACAGACTGCTAACGGGACACAGCGACCAGCTCAGAGTGGCAGCAGCAGCGGCGATGCCAGCAGGCGTGGGGGTACTTGCCCTCATTCCTCCCGTCTCCCATCTCAGGGTGGGGGGCTCCTCCCCCGGGGACCCTCCTCACGGACATGGAGCCCGGGAGAAGAGTGAGCTTGGAAGAAGGAGCTGGGCACGCTCAGCTCTGCGGGCACCTGCCCCCTCTCCTCGGAGCCAGCAGGATCCCCGGGACTATGGCTTCCCAGTCCTGCCTGGGGCTGTTTTTGAACCGGGTCCTGAAGGGTAGTTTGCCAAGAACACCAATGGGGAAAGGCCATCCCACGCGGTGGGGACAGAGTGTAAGAGATGACGGCGGAGGGAGGCAACTGCTGGAGGGGCAGGTACCAAACCGGACACACAGAGAGAGTGGAGGAAGCCGTGAGGAACGGCCACAGGTCCCTGCCGGTGCAGGCAGCAGGCAGGGAGCGCAGGCCAGCCCTCCAACCTGAGAGGGCCGCCTCCTTCCTGAGACCTCAGGGCAGACGCCCAGCAGACCCGGGGCAGTGCTGAGGGGAAAGAAAAACAGAAGCCCAGCCCTGCAGACAGGAGCCCTCAGAGAGCCGCCTTCAGCTCCCACAGTTCAAGGAAGAGGCGGCCTGCGAACTGTGTGCTTCCCGGGACCTGCAGAGCCCGGACAGACGAGCCTGCAGAGAGACGGAGACTCGGGGTTCCTGGGGGGCAGGGGGTGCCTGCCGGGGAGTGGCCTGCCGCTGCTGGGTGAATGTTCTGGAATGAGATATGTGTCGGCCGCAGAGTTCTGTGAACGTGTCAGAAATGACAGAATTGTGTGGCGTGTGATTTGCAACTCAATGACGTGGCGATATGTGAAAGGCCAGACGAAGGAAGGCGTGGCCATGGGGCTGGCCCTGCCCTCCAGCGCCCGGAGCGCCCCTCTGGCCCCGGTCGGCTGCACATCAAAACCAACAGGAGATGATGGTGTAAGCGAGGGAGAGATCGGAGGGCGGCCCTGAAGATGAGGCCACCGGCCTGGATGGGGGAGGCCAAAGATCGGCTTTCAGGCTGGCGAATGCACTCGGGGGGCCCGCGGGGTCCTGGGAGACCCCTGGGCTGGGGTGGGGCTCAGCCAAAGGTTTCTCCGGCTGAACATCATCTGCAGCAGACGAGGAGGAAGGCTCCGGGCCTGAACGGGTGGGTGAGAGTCCCCTGGGGACCAGCAGGGCCAGTGGGCTGCCTCCTCCTCACAGAGAAGGCAGGCCGGGCTGGCTGCCCAGGAGGGAGGAGCCAGGGGGAGGTGGCCAGAGGGGATGCGGCTAGCCCCGGGGGAGCACAGCCCTGGGAGGGAAGTTAGACAAGCCGTCTAACACTGCTCCCGGCCCAGCCCCAAACGGCTAGCTTCCTGAGGTCCAAGACAGCTACTGGGGGGGGGGGGGGGGGGATGGGGAGGTGACAGGGACCCGCAGGCGCTCTGGAAAGGGGCTCCGGCTGGCTTTGCTGGGAGAGCAGCCCCCAGGCCACGCCCCCTCCCAGAGGTGCCAGGCCCTGGCTCCTCGGCAGCGTGGGGAGCGTGCCCCCAGAGCTGCCCCCGGCCGCCCCGGCCCCCTGCTCACCGGTCCTGGAGCCGGTCCTGCGTGTCCTTCAGCCGGGCCCTCAGGTGCCGGATGCACACCTCCTTCTGCTGCAGGGGGGTCAGGTACTGCTCCGGCGTGGGCGGCTTGATGCCATGGTTGTCGCTGCACAGCATGTACTTCATGGAGCGCCTGCAAGGGGGCGCTCGTCAGCCAGGAGGGACGGAGGGAGGGCTGGGCCAGGGGCAGGAGGCCAGCCCCACCACCCAGGCCCACGGCCACCAGGGCTCCAGGCCGGGCCTCCCGGGCAGGCCCCAGGGCCCTGGACACCACCCTTTTCCAGAAGGCGGGTTTTACCAGAGCTTTTCTGAGGGAAAACGAGTCAGGGTGGGAGCCCTGGCTCTAGTTGGGGGTGGGGAGACATGCTGTAGGACATACTGACATCCATCAATCCATCCGGAGAGCTCAGGGCCCAGTCTCCCAACCTGGGAACGAGGCTGGGGCTGGGGCTGGGCTGGAGGGCTCTCCTCCTCTAATCTGCACACACTCACAGGCGTGCACATCAGAGCACACGGACTCCCAGCCCACCTGCGCCTGCGTGTCCACATACATGAGCACACACCATGCCCACGCATCCCACCCTTTCTCTACCGGCACAGGCACATGTGAGGACCCCATGCATGTGTTCATACAAATGCATCCCCCCCTTTACTCTGGGACACATGTGAACACACGTGTAGACACTGCTGGCCCTGGACCCGATGTACCCCAGGTGGCAGCCGCTGGCTGTGCACTGCTCCGGAGGCCATGTGCTGCCCGGCATGAGGCGGCACAGGCGTGTGTGTGTGTGTGTGTGTGTGTGTGGTGAGAGCACCCTGGTCCCACCAGGGCAGAGGAAGGAAGGCCTAGGCTTTCATCCTGAGAAGGAGGGCACCCGATTCTACCAACAGAGCATGGCCCGCCCGCCTCGGCGCCCAGCTTCCTGCCTGCTGGTTGCTCTGTTCACGAACCCCCTTGGAGCTTGGCTGAACACCCCGGGCAGGTTTTCCACGCAACGCGGCTCCTCTGGGGCAGGGCTCCCAGGTCTAGGGAGGCGCAGTGGCCTGGGGAGGGCCTCCTGTGTTGCAGGCAGAGGAGGAGGGGGGAGGGGGGGAGGGGTGGAGCTCAGCGGTGCCTCGCTGGGGGGCGCTAAGAGATCTCTTTCCGAAAGACAAGCCCCCACGGGACTGCGGGACACAGCTCCGTGCCTGGGGGCGGGGAGCCAGGGTTGGTAAGTGTGAGGCTTAGCGAGGAAGTCACTCTTTTAACCTCCCCACTTGCTTTCATGAGTGTTTTCCCCAAGATAACACTGACACTCACACGTTTTAGTCACTAGCTCCATCTTTGTGGGCAAACACTTATCCGTGGGGAGAGAAATGCACTGTAACTCAGGCCTCTCCGCTGCTCCCTCGGAGAGCCCAGCCCTGCAGGGAGGCCACACAGGCCCTGCTCGCCCTCAGCGGCCTCTCCGCGGGCGCGGACCCTTCCCCGCAGAGGCCAGCCTCCGGGCGGGGCCCGCCCGGCCCGCAGTTGTGCATTACAAAAATCTGCTACTGAACGAAAAAACAGTACAGTTGTTAATTATGAACCTCTAAAAATGTAAGTGGCCCGGCCGGTGTTGCTCAGTGGCTGAGCATCAGCCCATGAACATGGACTCCCGGTCAGGGCATATGCCTGGGTTGTGGGCTCGATCCCCAGTAGGGGGCGTGCAGGAGGCAGCTGATCAGTGATTCTAATCATTGATGTTCCTAACTCTCTCTACCTCTTCTTTCCTCTCTGAAATCAATAAAAATATATTTTAAAAAATAGTTATTAATGAATCAGAACTGCAACTAGGCTGGCTGGTGTGGCTCAGTGGTTGAATGTTGACTTACGAACCAGGAGGTCATGGTTCAATTCCTGGTTGGGGCATATGCCCAGGTTGCGGGCACATCCCCAGTGCGGGGTGTGCAGGAGGCAGCTGATCAATGATTCTCTCTCATCTTTGATGTTTCTATCCCTTTCTCCCTTTCCCTTCCTCTCTCTGAAGATGCATGCGTACACTTTAAAATATACGAGTAAGTGTACACATCCATCTTCCTCACGCCTGTGTTCTGGAGCGGGGTCACCCACGGAATGCTGGGGCATGGGTCCTGCTCACGCGTCGCCCATCACACGCGTGTCACCCATCACACATGTGTCACCCATCACACGTGTGTCACCCATCATGCGTGTGTCATGCTGGACAACTCTGTGAAATGTTGCCTCAGCACAACCGGAACATCGCTTCCCACAATGACACCCTCTCCACTGGGACGAGCGGACGAGTCCTCCCGGGGTGCTCTGGCCTGGGGTGCAGGCCGCCTTCGGCCGGGACTCCCAGGAGGACCCGAGTCCCACGGACGGAGTCACCCTTTGGATGGAGCCCTGGGGACGGGAAGTGTCCAAACACAAAGCCCCCGCCCTCGGCTTCCCCTGCATGTCACCGCTGGCGGCAGGCTTGTGCCGCCGTCACAACTCTAACTCCCTGGTCTCCGGGGACCCACGGCGCCCCTGGCCCTGCCTGCCAGCCCGATCCCGCTTCCCGGGTCTCTGCTCGCCTTTCCTGAGGGCACAGCTCAGCCTTTGTCCCCCCACTCTGCTTTCCAAACCCGCTCCCCTCTGCCCCCCTCAGAGGTCCCCCAGGAAAGCAGCGGCAGAAGCTGCGGGGTGCCCTCCAGCGCGGTGCCCAGGAGCGCACGGCTCTGCCCGCCCTGGGCCTGCACGTCACCCAGCTCCACACGAGGGGCACACGGGGAGCTCCCGTCAGAGCCGGGGCCGGCGGGCAGGGGCTTTGGGCTTTTACCGTTCTCCTTCCTGCTGCCTGGAGGTGTGGGAGCCACATGAGGACGAGAGCCACACCCCGAGGACGGTGAGCAGGAAGGCAGGAGCCGGGCCTCAGCATCCCTCCCCGTGGCCTCGGACACTGTCCGGGAGACCCACAGCCGGACAGCATCACACCGTCTCAGACCCAGGACTGAGCTCCGAGAGGCAGTGAGCTGCTTGGGGCTGCACAGCCGGTGAGAGTGGGGGTGGTGAGGACACCCACTCCCCGCACCCCAAGGCCCCCGGGCAGCCGGGCCGGGCCAGGCCAGGCTGGGGGGGCGGTTACCTGGGCGTGGGGCTGCCGTCGCTGCCCTTGCAGGAGCCCGAGGTGCTGCTGCCGCTGACGGAGGAGGTGCCGTAGGCGTCCCGCATGCTCACGGGCGGCGAGGTGCGCCTGGGGGCGGGGAGAGGGGGCAGGTGCTCGTCCTGGCCGGGGGGCAGCTGCGGACCCTGGGCGAGCACAGCCACGCCGCTGCAGCCCAATGCGCCCCCGCTTCGGGGTCACCGCCGGGAGAGAAGCAGGGGCCGGGGGTGCACAGACAGGGGGACAGACAGACAGCGCCAATCAAGATGGAACACCAGAAGCACAGTCCTCCTGACTCCCCAGGGCAGGCATGGAGGCCGGACAGGGCTGCAGGCCAAGCAGGGGGGGGGGCAGGGGAGGGGGGAGAAGGATGCAGGCCAACGGGGTGGGGGGAGAGAAGCATCTTCCCTTACAGGGTCCCCAAGCCCAGAGGAGGGGTCCTGCATGGGCCGAGTCACAGGAGGAGAGATGGGGCAGGCGGGAGGAGAGGCAGAGGGCACTGCCAGGAGGCGGAGTGACACCCTCTGATTGTGAAGGTCAAACACAGCACTGTGCGGGCGGGACCCCGGGGTGTGCCTTCAGAGAACTTCACACCCACAGTCCCAGGAGGGGCCGGGAGGCAGCAAGCCCGTCTGAAAGCTGGGAAGACCAGGGAAACGCCTCCAGGGTGGTGGCAGAGCGGGGCCGCCCCTCCCGTCCTCCGGGCCGGGTCTGGGGGGGACAGGGGGGAGACTCACCTGCGGGATCCAGCAGAGGCCCGTCTACTGCCCTGCAGGGACATGGCCATGAGGCTGCGGGTCCGGGTGAGGGGTGGGACGGGCGGTGCCCCTGGGGCTGAGGAGAGAGGGCGCATTGGGGGGGCCGCGGCCAGGGCCGGGCCGGGCCACGTCATCCTCTCGCTGCCCGGCATGGCCTCTCCTCGCGCCCCTCCGCAGGGCACCCAGGACCGAGCGAGGGCCTGGCGGGCCGGGCTCTGGGCACCGCCGGCTCCGGGCGCCCGGCTCACGACGCCTGGCAGAGCCTCGGGGCAGCCAGAGGTCATCGGTCCCCGCCGTGCTCTCCGAGGGGCGGCCGCGGCTGGAGCGGAGGCCTCGGCCGAGGTCACACCTGGCGCCTGCAGACCCCGCAGCACCGGGTCCTCTCTGCTACGAGCCGGCCCCCGGGTCCCTGACACTCAGACCCCGGTCCGCCCCCCGCAGTGGGGGCTGCAGGCTGGAGGGCTCCGGGAGCCGGACCAGGACCCCAATTACGCTGGGCTGGTCTCGACGTCACCTTCCCAGAGTGCCTGCCGGCGTGTGGCTCGGGGCTTCCCGTCTACAGGGGGAGACAAGACAGACCGACAAGACAGACCGACAGCACACGTGTAGAAAGACACATGGATACACACGGTTGTGATAAGGCACCACGCCCCGGACATTCCACGGGAACATGCTCGGCAGGCCATGCAGCGGCCTCCCGCACACGTGCTGCACACACACACACATGCCCGCACCATGCAGGGGCGCGTGCCGATCCTGCCATGCAGGGAGCTCAGGGCGCGGGCTCAGGCATGAGCACCGGGGCGGTGGGAGCAGAGTCCCCCTCGGGATGTCTCGGGGGCTGGGCCCAGGAGAAGGTGACCGTGCCCGCAGAGGCCCCTCCTTGGTCCTCCTGACGGAGGGTAGGGGGACACAGGCCCTCTGGTGCCAGCCTAGGAGTCGCTAGGCCCCTCCCCTGGGACCCCCCAGGGGTGTAAGGAGGGGAGGCCCCAGGCCGGGCAGGGTGTGAGCTGCTGTGGGAAGTGGCTGCCTGGGGCTCCCGGAGTCTGAGGTGGAGGGCCTGGGCCCCTGCAGCCAACATGCTGGCCTTGTGCGGGCTCCGGAGAGCAGCCCCTTCTTCCACGCTCAGGGCGGGGAGTCAGACGGGAGCCTGGGCTACGGGAGACTCGCTGAGGACGCCGGGCCCGACACCTGCCCCCATGCCGGGAAGCAAGCATCCGCCCAGCCCCGCGCGCCCGTCTCAGACCCCAGGCCGAGCACGTTACACGGTACGTACATTCCGCCATCGACTCCTCCCAACAACCCTATGAGGAAGCGCTGGGGTTAGTCCCTTCACAGGTGAGGAGTCCCAGAGTCCCAGGTGGGGGGGCGGAGAGGGGGCTGGACCTCAAACCAGGAAACCTGGAGTCCCCGGGCCAGGAACCACCCCTTCCCACGACAGGGCCCCTGGGAGCCTGGCCGTCCGGCAGACAAAGGCGCTGCTCAGTGGCCTGTTTCCTGGCTGTGACACAGATGCGGCCTGTCCCCCGGAGGCCGGACACAGCCGGCATTGTCTGCACCGAGGTGTCGGGTGCCGGCGCGGGAGCCTCCGACACCGTGCCCGTCACCTGAGCCGCTCGCCCTCGCTAGGTGACGCGGCCCACCCGTCGTGCCCCGTCACCCAGCCGGGACCTCCTGGGGCTGCGGGGCCGGCACCCAGAGGAGGGGCCACGGAACAGGGCCCCCACACTGGTCAGGAAGCCCCGGTGGCCCCCGGCCACCTGCCTCCCGAGCACAGGGGGGCTGGGCCAGATGCAGGGGGAGGCGGTGTTGGGGGGGGGGTAAGGCCTCCAGCATCGCCTGCTGTGGCCTGAGCCCGGTGTGGCCCGCTGACATTTTGGCCAAGGTCATGCGGCTGCAGGTCTGACAGGCCCTGGTGGCTCGTCCCTGCCAGCCCGGCTCCGCTGGCATCGTCCCCCATCCCCGGCTCCCTCTGCTTCTGGGGGGAGGCAGAGTGGAGGCTGTGCCTCCAGGAGACCTCTCTGCAGGGGCGGGACTCAGGTCCTGCACGGCCTCGCTCGTCCCGGCCTGTCGGGGTGAGGGTGCTGAGGAGCTTGGGTGGGAAAGGCCAAGGGGAGCTCTAGCCCCAGGTCCCGGGAGGAGGAGCTGCGTGCGGCCTCGGACAATGAGGGCCTTGTCCCCACTGCCCCGCCCCTACCTTGCGTGGCAGCCCCACTGCTCCCCCTCTTGGGCTCCGGCTTCCTTTCCTTCCTTTCTGACGGGGGTAGGGGTGTGTGTGAGAGGGGGAGGGAAGGGGACTGCCTTTGTACTGGATAAAGCCCCGTCTCCTGGGAGGCCAGGGCCAGCCATCCACCCGGGAGGAGGTGGAAGTGGTGTTCCCCAGCTGGGACGGGGCTGTGCAGGCAGGGTCCTCCAGGGCGGCCAGTCACCCAGGCCCAGAGGCAGCCACCTTCTAGGATCCGCTCAGAGGTCCCGGGGTGGGGCCTGTGCGCTCCGCTCCTCCCTCTCCTCCAGGCCCCGCGCAGGCAGGTTGCCATGGCGTTTGTCGCCATGGCCCAGAGTCCCCGCAGGCCTGTCCCCAGGTGGCCAGAAGCTGCCACTGGAACGGAGGGCGGGAAGGAAATCCTTCGCCGAGGGTCACAGTCTCTCATCATCTCAACCCCGAGGAACTGCAGCCCCTTCTTCCCTGCCGCCTCCCTCAGGTCCCCACCTGCCCTGCGGTCAGCCCTCACACGCCCAGCGTTTCTGAGGACGCCCAGGGAGGGTGGGGGTACAGGAGGATCTCGGGAACAGCAGAGGGGAGATGCAGGAACAGTCGAAGAGATCTGGGCTCACATCCCAGCTCTGTCACCTGCCTCCTCATCTGCCAGTGGGGCTGTGCTGGAAGGCGCCTCCTGTGGTCGCTGTGAGGATGACACGGGTGAGGCATGCTGAGCCCAGGGCCCACCTCCCGGCACTCCCCGAGGGGAATGCCGGTCACTGAGAGGGGCGTCCCTGCAGGGCACGTGACCTTCAGGACAGGAACGCATCCCCGGCAGGACCGGGCCTCAGGACGGCCAGGGGAAGCTGCTCCAAGGAAATGTGCTCGGGCCCGGAGGATGAACAGGAGTTCACAGGCAGGGAAAGTGAGCAGGAAGCAAGCGGCCTGGCACAGGTACCGCTGCGCAGGGCACGAGGGGCCTGCTGAGGGCGCAGTCCCAGCGGGGTGAGGCTGCGGAGAGGGCTGCATCACCAGGCCTCACCCTCGGGGCCACAGGAGGTCATGGATTGGCATTGCAGAGAGCCCTGCGGCAGGGACCCTGGGGAGTGTGGCTGGGAAGGGACAAGAGGAGAGGCAGGGAGGTGAGGTAGGAGGTTACCAAACACTCCCAGGTAAGGAATGAGAAGGCCCAGGCTAGGGCGGCAGCGGGGGGGGGGGGGGGCAATGGACAAGAGGCGGAAACCTCCTCAGAATTCACCAGAGGCGCCCGATTAAGTAAAGATCAGGGTAACACTCTTGACCCCGGAGTCCAGGGCCCTCTCATGTGTACCCTTCCACCTGCTCTCAGCTGCTGCTATTCCCTCCCCGCTCCCCCAGGAAAGCCATTTTCTGCTCCCACAGCTGTGCCTGGGCTGACGCACCATCCTGCAGTGCACACCCCCTCCCCCCCCCCCCCCCCCCCCCCCCCCCCCCGCCAGTCCTGCCAGCCCTGCCCCCATGCGCACACCCACGCTGGGCTGTCTCCCATCACTTACTGTCATGACTATTGGGCATGCCAGGCCTGGGGTGGAAACACTGTGAGTTTCACACAGATGAACACAACCAGCACACGACTGTACATAACACAGCGGCTTACACAGGCACGTCTGGTAAGCCCAGGGCTGGGTTAGATGGTCTGAGATGCTGCCAGAGCCTTTTCTGACTGTAATTCCGGGGCCGTTCCGCGTCCTCCCCCTCCGAGCACGGGGACCCCGGCTTCGGTCCCCACGGCGGGGGAACCCGGTCGCGGCTTCCTCTGAGACACCGCGGCACTTCACTCCACCGGCAAGGCGCGAGGGAGACGCCAGGCGCTCGGTTAGCCTAACGTTCCGGCTACGTGGAAGTCCCTCACCTCCTACAAATTACCCTTTTCCAGAGAATCAGCCGTCAGTACCCGGAGACGGCTTCCTCAGGCCCAGCCAGGGAACGGCACGATCTGCGCCTGATGACTCACGCCTCTGGCAGCCGAGCCAAGCCGAGCCTCGCAGCCAGCAGGAGGGAACTTGGGGAGGGGGCCCCTCTCTGCCAAGGCAACGGGGGTGCAGAGCACCCCACCCACCGACAGCAGAGCAGAGCGGACGCCGAGGGAAGAGGGAGGAGAAAGGCCGGCCTGGGAGCGCCCAGCGGCCACCGGGATCACAGGGGGCTGTGCTCTGAGGGTCACTCACGGCCGAGCTCCGTGGCCGTCCACTGGCTTCACAACCTGGCCGGCACCCGCTCCTCGGCGCTGCCGGCCAAACCCGGGCCTTCCGTCCCGGACCTGGGGCGGAGGCAGCGGTGGCATCTCTCCAGCTGGCTGCCTGGCCCTGCCCACGTGCCCTCTGAGCTGGAACCAGGGGTGGGAGCCACGGGACGCCTCCTTCTCACCATGGCAACCCCGGCTCAACGGCAGGGCAGGCCCACCACTGGGCCAAATGCCGTCTGCTCCCTACTGCAACCGGGACGGACCGAGGGCTGAGGCGGCCGCGACACAGGGCTCCTGGGGGTCAGACTCCCGTGGCTGGGAACCTCCCGGAGAACCTGCCCCCGGGGCTGCTGAGGGGTGAGCTGGGCCCCTGCCCCACTGCCCCCGACGAGGCTCCTCTTGTGTGTGTCCTACATATCGGCGATCCGAAGGAAGACGGCTTTTTATTTTTACTTATTTATTTTACTTTAAAAAATTATTCTTTAAAAGATATATTTTTATTGATTTTAGAGAGTAAGGGAGAGGAAGAGAAAGATGGAAACACCAAGGAGGAGAGAGAATCATTGATCGGCTGCCTCCTGCACGCCCCCCCGGGCACATAACCTGGTTCATAGCTGGACGCTCAACCACGGAGCCAAACTGGTCGGGCAGG